AAATCTGTCTGGGTTTTTAGGGGTATACAGCTATTTCGAGAAAGGTTGTCGGAAAAAGTGCACGCGACAATCCCGAAAGGCATTGTAGGTGGTTTCAAGTTCACTGTTCTTTAAAGAAATTTGAAAGAATTGGTACGAAAGGCCGTGGAACTGTGTTTGCGAGTGCTAAAGGAAAGCAACAAAAGGAGGTTCGACAGGTAAAGTCGTCAGAAACTGTGTATTGATCATATCCCATATTACCTTTCGGATGGTCTCGTGCACATTTTTTCCGACAACCTTTCTCGAAATAGCTGTATAACCTGTTCTTCTTGACTAAACTCAAATCAAGGGTCACTCTTGATCTTAACGGTGTAGACGCTAATTGAACGCTCCGAGTCAAACATTAATCTGTAATCCACAAATCGAGTGAAGCGAACTGCTCTCCAGTGTCTCCTTTCGACCTTCCGCTTCTCTTCGCGCACACCTCCCTTGTTTGTGCGAGTATGTGTATTGGTCTCGCTTAGGGTGTTCTGGGCAAAACGCCGTTATATTTAGCCGTGAAGGTCTCGTTTAGGGTTGCAAGCGAAAAAATATAAATATATATATATATATTGTCTGTGTTTTAACATGGTCTCTTTTAGGGGTCAAAAAAAGCTTGGGCCACGCCCAGATCGGTCTCCTGTAAGGCGCAGTTAATTCAAAATTTCCGACGAGCATCCCCAGCACCACCGCGGTCAAACGTCTAAAATCGTTATTTTTGTTTTTTATTGCTGGGATTTCATTTACCAGTTAGAGAAAAATGGGCAAAGATGTATAAATCAGTTAGTCAACATAACTATCTTTCCATTTTTCTCAAAATTTTGAGCTTTTTTCGCTGAAAACGCTTTCTAAAAGAGAATCATGTTTGAAAATGGCGCCGATAATAACGTCAGCATCGGTTTTCAATCACTTAGAACTTTTTTAGTAAACTTTTAAAAATTTTAGTAAACTAACAGGATGTTGGTAATACCCTAAACTTTCGATAGTGAAAGTAGCAACCTTAACTTTGAAGTATTTCGCTTAACTTTTGCAAATTTCACTCGTTTGACCGCTGTGAAATCCCCAGCCCTTTCATATGCGGAGTCCCCCCCCCCCCCCCCCCCCCCCCCC